AAGCAACTACCAATACGCAAACTAATTGACGACTGTGTTTCAAAAATACAAACATTACTTAAGCATGAGCAGAAACTTGATCGAATCAGCCATATTGACAAATTAAACAAATTATCGATTGAGTGAAAGTACTGTAACTTTTAGAAATCAACGGTGGCTGCACTTCACCATGTTAACAATAGCCACATCACTCAATTCACAGTTAATTTTACACCACTACACATTGAAATAGACGACTCTCCAGTTCACTAAAGCAACAATAATTGGTAGAATTGTTCCCCCATGTATCAATGTCAATTCCAATTGACTACACTAATATTGCTTCCAGTGAATACAGAAGTGTTTTATTCTGTCTTTGATTTGTCTACTAATTCTGTAGTCGAATAGACACTTTATGTAAAATTATTCTGTTAAAATAGAAATATTGAGTGGTATCCCGTTTCCAAAAATGAATACCACACGTAACCCATATGTCTTTCTTTAAAACACAACAATGTACATACAATTACACACGTACAGAAAAGATATTTCAAACTCAGAGGAAAAGAAATACGAGCTAATTACAAGATTTATTAACATACTTGTTTTACTTACATTACTGTATTTGTTCCATTATAAGTACATGTATATTTCAAATGTAAACCTAAAGTTGCATTTATTGTATGCTAATTCGTTGAAATATTGATTATATTGACATAGGTCTGTCATTTACGCAAGTAAATGTGCTACTAATAGGAAATATGGTACATGTATAAACCAAACCGTTACACAATTGCAACATATATTTAAGAATGATCAGATACATATTTCCCCACAACAACACCCCCTCCCTCCCTCCCTTCCTCCATTCATCATGAAGACAGAACTTGATATATGGTAGAAGAGGAGCCGACATTCACATTTAATCAGCTTGGGACTTGGCCTTGAGAAAAACGTTTGTAGACGTTAACATTCTTAAATGTATAAAGGACACTATTAAAATCAGAACGGTGTAAAAAAATTGCCAGAAGGATTCTTTGGTTGTTAACTATACTACTGCAAAGGCATTCACAGCCCTGGGGTGTAGTAAACATAAAAAATTTAATCCCTGAACTGTGATTGGTTGATAAACAAATCTCTGAGCCAACTTTCCAAATATGGAGTGAGATTCACATATTTGTGATCTAAATCAACAGTTAGTTTATCTCTTCACACTTAGGTGAAAACTGTCTACAGACAAGGTGAATGAAAATTGTAAAAAAAATGACATTTGTGTAGCGTCGCTGATGCTCAGAGGGTGTAACTACATCCACAGAGGGTAAAGAATGACTATTCACAGTGAAGTTTCTCAAGGATGACGTTGTGAGCAGGATTTGTACAAAATACTCAGTCAACTGAAAAAGATGTGGGAAAATAGAGGGCCTTGAGTAAAAAATAATTAGACTAGTCAAGCTTGGTGATAACGGTTGAGAGTACATCTAGGTTACAGACTTAATGCAACCAACCACCAAATATAACATGTTATTCAGGTTCTATGTACTTAATAAAGCTAGTAATTGTATTGTATCATTTATTAGTAATTTAAGATTTATTAAACATAACAATGTGTATGCACTGTGTGCAATAAGGGTTAATAAAGTTAATTACCTAATCAATCATTGTTAGTAATTTTTGAGATATGCCACAGTACGTCTATCACAGGAATGTGGATATGTGTAGTATTACTTTATGTTGATTACGGATTTAAAAGTTGTATCGTCTGCAAAACCTAGTTGAAAGCCCTTTCAATTTCGAACAACTTGTCCAAAAGTCAAACATGAAAGTAAAGGTATTTATACGAGTTATATTGAACAAAAACTAGAAACATTTTTTATTTTTTTAAATGAAGCCGGAAGCCTAGCAGGTGAGGGAAACAAATTCTACTCAGAAATATGTAGACATTAGTGTATCCCTAAACTTGTTTTTATGAACATTTTACTCACTATGACAGCCAGATAAATTTTTCAAAATTAAAACATTAGTTCTGAGATGTATGTAAAAATCAATGTAAAATTAAACATTTGTAATTAACCCAATATTTAGTCAGTTTTAATGCATAAATTTTTAACTTGTTTTAATTCATTTTTTGTCAAAAATACTATATAAATCAAAATTTGGAAACAGGCATCAGAATATTGGGTGGACACTGTCAAAACCCTCAGTAAATCAGAAGTAATTTAAAAAGATATTGAGGACAATCACTCATGGCATTGTTATAAAAGCTGCTATCACCTTTGACCTTTCATACTATTGTATCTCAAGTGTAATGATAAGGAACATATTTCACCAGACATAAAGTGCTGTTGCCATGGTAAAGATGATTATGACTGCTCATGTTCACAGTAACTAAACATGTTAAACACAACTTCAAATTATCAGCTGGAAAACTCACTGCTCATTGATCAACAAGTGGTGTGCTGATGCTATTTTGTTTCAGTTTTTAGTTATGTTTTAGAAGAAAATTTTATTTTTAAAATAAAAAAATTACATTGTATGGTAATAAATCTGAAATAACAATTAATTGATTTATTATTCTGAACAAAATATAAAGAATTCAATTAAAAATCTGGAAGTCCTAGTAGCCACGGTCTCTCATAATGTGGGTGGAAGGAGCCAGTCATTTAGATAAATACATTTAGAAATTAAAATCACAATTCAATACATACTAAATACACAGGGGTAAATATTTAGACTGCAAACACACAGATACTTAATATAGACCACACTCTCACGCCTAAACACGTATTTCTTTCAAAAAAGTCAATTCTCAATCTATCATCAATCAGAAATGCATCCAGCGAAGTTTATGGGGCAATAACAATTAATAGGTAATTATTCACTGGTCATTATTAGCAATAATGACCCTGTACATGTACTTTTATATAGCCATTTAAATCCATTATGCTAATGAGATTGGTCACTTGTATTGTCAGGTTGACTTTTTTTAAAGTTCAAACAGAGGTGATGTTATGATTTCTTAGTAAATAAAGAAACGATTGAAAACGATTGAAAAGAGCTTGAATTCTTGACCCGTTAATTGTATTTAAGTAATGGTAGTGCCGCTGAGATTAACACCATGAAAGCAAATTTTCGCAATTTATATTTTCCACATTTTCTCACATTTACTGATGATCTGACACTTAACGATAAGGATCACATTAAGGAAAACAACTCCAATTTCTGACTGAGACTTAAAAAATGTTTCAACATAATGTATGTCAAAGGTGCACTTCACTAATAGTAAATAATACGGCATTTGTCAATCAAGAGTGGATAGCAATAAGGATTAATAATATAAGTTACTATGATTTAGTGCATGACAGTCGCTCTAGCTTTCTCTTTTTTGCGACCTCCCCAGGACCATATGGTAATATGAGCTTTGAAAGATTATAAAAAAAAAAAATATAAGTATATATTGTGTACAGTTTTGTTTGAAATACTGAATGTTACATGCTGCAGAATATACTTGAAATAATATCTGCTGGGCTCTCATAATCATTTCATAATAGCATAATGTGCATACTCAGTAGACATACAATTCTACAATTCATTTTTTCAATATTATTACGACAACTGAGTGGTCGCTTTCATAGTATTTTATAGTATCCCGGCCAAGAAATATTGGCAACTCGTTAAGCTCACAAATGTCATTGTGACAAGTTGACTACTATCAGATTCCTTGATTTTTACAATATGGTTTTATTGAATTCTGTTGTTCATAAAACCCACATAAATATATATGGTCACTACTTTTTATGCAAGACAAAGGTGATTATCTCAAAATTTCATTTGGTTAATTAATTAATTATCAATTAATTAATTATTAATTTATTTGATGCTTTAACATAGATTCCTATAAAAATTGTTTTAAAAACATCCATTTTACATTTTAATTTTTTTCTTTTAGTTTTAAACTTGACTTTATTTTGACTCAGCTTAAAATTACATGGTTAGTATTTATTCAATTATTCACATTAAAATTCTCATCATAGAATGATTGCCCTTGACATAACTGACTTAAGGGTAGTCATGGTTACCATGAAACATAATGCCATACTTTTATTTCCTACGGTTATAGGGATAGTCACTAGTCAACTATTTTGGAGCCAATTTTGGCTTCCAAAACAAATAAATTGTTTCACTCTTATGAACACTAAACAACCATGCACAAAAACATCCAGAAAATCAAAGTAAGAAAATGAGTAAACACAATTATTGTTAGGGAGGGGGCTATCCTGGACGTGAGCAATGAAACTGGTTTAAAATGGCCTTGATTTTAGATAAGTTACTAAAAGCTGAAAGGCAGCTAATTTTTTGCTTTAATCTAAGGATAATGCTTATAAAAGGACCCGACTATGGCATTACATTTCACCATACTGAACAGGACACCTAGGAGAAAAAAAGCTGTAAGCTGTTCCAAATGAAGATCTCATAATTTGCTCCATAGCTGTGTACGTATGTTTGCTCCAACGAAAAGCAAGATACTCTTTCGTGTGCCAGGTGACGACTGCGTCGAGTTTGTCTTCAGTACAAAATGAAAATAGACGAATGAGCAGGCCAAGTGTAGTGCACAGTCTCTCTGTGGTCAGCGATAGGGCTCTGCAGTATTTGTTTTATCACCTATTACTAAGTTTCAATTAACAGCGGTTTCTTGTCCCGTTCCGTCAAAAGACGATATTTTTGTGGAGAGAACAATTGCTACGATTAAGAAAGGGCATAGTTTTCGGTTATGTTTGAAAGTTACAACAGGCGAGATCTCATTCACCACAACAAAACAATGACGTAAACAATGACGAAGTTCCGTACTTCGGTCACATAACGTGGGCAATTATCATCATATTTGTGTGTGCCATCGCGAAGCAACACAGGGCAGCATATTGTCAGTGCGGAAGTGGATATTAAAGCAGTGCAGCGTATAATGAAAATCAGTGTCCGTGTTTTTATTATAAAAAGAATAAGTCTACAGTGAAAAATACACATACCTTCGAAATGACCAGGGCAGTGAACGTCTCCAGCCCGCCACGAACAGCAAAGCCCCAAGGACTACCACCTTTCAGAACAACTTCAAAACTGGATTTGCCAGGCACAGTTCGATCCATGGCTGCCCTAATCAACTGTTGTGATATGGACACGGGGTCTGGTCGCTGTCGCTTACGATCGCCACTAACAGCAACGTCCACTTCGACCGACCTCACATAATCGGTACTCATTTTTTCGGTTCAAAATATACGGAACGGCGGCTTCTCGGAGACTCGTTCAACATTAGTATCGGTTCATAGCAGCGCTAGGTGTGCTTCGGCGTGTAAAGTTTCCATTGAAATAGTGAGAAAACACAGCGTCCTTTCTTTTGACAGTATGGTACAGGTGAACAACCGGTTCCGTGGGAGGTGAGAATGAAAGGAACACATTGGCGTTTCTGTCGATCGGGCAGGTCACTGGCGGTGGATTCTGGGTAAACAAGAGAAAGTTTGAAAACGAGCAGCGCGGTTCCGAGCATCACGCCCTCTGAGTTTAATGAAGTTTCCACAATAATGAGAAAACCGTATATCTTGCAAATTGATAGCTTCTACAGAAGAAATATGCAAATACTAGTATTATGTAAAACAAATAAATCCAATATTTTTTTTTAAAGAAAATGCACGATGTGCTCACAGCTCATTAACAAACATGATAAGTACAATCTCGACTGCAGGGCATCGAACAACTGAACAACGAAATTGTGGTGATTATATTACAGTGATTAATATAAAATTATATTATTTTAGAGCGTGGTTGTTTTTTTTTTTATTTTCTAATATTAAGACAGCTGACTGTCTAATATTAAGACCATTGAAACAGGGGCCATATTTACTTCAACTTTTGCAATATGGTTTTATTTGATGTTGTTATTCACTAAACCGAGACAATAAAGTATGATGTCCAAACTATTTTTTGGCGCAAAAATTGTCAAACATCAAAAGCGATGTTGAACCATGTGTAATTGTAGAGGACAACTGTAACTATTGAGGGCGCTATAACCCCTTATTTGCACACATCATTTTGTTTTCGGTATAAACACGATTAAAAGAAGAACCCGTGGTATAAATATCCATTTCATTTTTCATCAAAATAATTGTTTTTGAATGACAGCCAAAATGTTAAAGAACGTGACGCAAATCTTAACGTATTTTCAGTTTCAAATTATTGGACTTCAAGTTCAATTTGTTTTGCAATTTCGGCTCAGCTGAAAGCAAATAATGACAGTTTATTTTCCACATACATTTTGTGCTAGTATTTAATCTGGAAAAGGCCTTGGTTTGAGTTTTTCAAAAGAATCTCAAAAGTGAAAGCATTCTGAGATAATAACATGGGAACACCAATACAGTAATATGTCGCATAACACTCGAACAAAATACTGTACACTGTGCCACGGCATTACTTGGAGTCTGCGCATAACCACCTAGTGAATAATCTGCCAATCTACTCACAGCTTGTATGTATTCACACTACGAACAAAGAACTCAATGTGACCTTGGACGTGTGGATAGTCAGAATCATTATTTAGGCGCAAATGTTCACAGATATGTAGTCGCCACGTGACCCCCCCCCCCACGTACTGACCCTATGTAGAAGAAAAGAGATATGTGGAATGTAATAGAAGCGTACCCATGATTTTTGAAAGAGTTGTTCAACAACCTTATGATAATCATCATTAATATTTGTAATGGTAGCACAAAAAACATTCCGTTGTATAGTGCACTATCGAGAATTTTGCAAAATATTATTTGAAAAAAAAAATCTTTTAGAACATTTTCGCAGAGCTCAATGTTAAAGCCTTAAGTTATAACATTTTTCATCACCTTTAAATCCAGATTTAACAAACAACACAGCACACACATAAATAAATGACAAATAAACACTATAGACTTACGGACATAAACTTACGGAGCATTACATGAGTGTCAAATGATAAAACCGTCAAATGTTGGAATGCTGCAGGATGCAAACTAGCACTACATCCCGTGTCGTCATAGGAATAAATGAAACGCATCAGTATTATACTCAACATGAGCTTGAAGATAATTAATTAACACTTTTGCGTGTGTGTTGAAACGGCCAAAGCTGTGAACAATATATGTTAGTGCCAAAGGCTTGAAAGATTTGAGTTGGCATAAATATTATTGATTCACTATGTGCATATTGCTGTATGCGGACGATATAGTTATTTTTTCAGATTCTGAAAGTAGATCAGTTCATTACATGGTATTATAAATGGAGACTAACGATTAATTTTGTTAAATCAAAAGTTATTCATTTTAGGAAAAAGAATACAGAATGTGGTCAATATACGTTTCGAATAGGTGATAACATTATTAGTTACGCTCGGCGTTATAAATATCTGGGGATATTATTGGATGAAAACGCTTTAGCTGATGCTGCAGATAGGGGACTGGATGCTCTTATGTCGATATTGAAATTCTTAAATAATATGGTTTTTAAAACATGTACTAAAATATACAATTCTACAATTGTTCCAATTATAGATTATTGTTCCGGTATTTGGGGTTATGATAGCTACCATGTTGCGATGCAGTTCAAAACAGGACATTCTTCTTAGGAGTGCATAACACTTTAGCAGTAACAGGGGGTACAGGTTGGTCTATGTGCAGTTCACGGCATTGGGCTAATATGGCTAGATACTGGAACAGGTTATGCATGTTAGGCGAATCAAGTGTTTCTATGGGAACATGCTCCGGGATATAGAAATTGGTCATCTGATATGTGTAATATTTTTGATTTGTTAGATATTGAGGTCATATATTTCTGCAATGTTGATAGCATTAAAGAAAATAAAAATGAAATTTCCATTGAAAACTGGCATACAAATGTTAATAATAAACCCAAACTACGTACTTTTATTAAATTTAAATCTGAATTTGGAGAAGAAAGTTACTTATTATTAAACATGTCTAGGGGTGAAAGATCGTTTTTAGCACAGCTCCGTTTCGGTATACTTCCGTTGCGTATCGAAACGGGACGATATAGACATGAAACCGTAGACAGACGCATTTGTAAATTATGTTCTTTAAATGTAACAGAAGATGAAATACACTTTTTACTGTATTGTCCATTATACACAGAATTATGTGAGCAGCTATTTAATGAATTTAGTATTTCCAGAAACCAATTTAATTTGTTAACTGATATAGAAAAAATAAGTTACTTTTATGGTGAACCATGTTAGAGCGATAGCAAAATATATTACAAGATCATTTCAGAAGAGGCGAGATAACCTGTTTGTGTAGTACATTAGTTGATATTATATTTTACAAGCAATAATACATACAATATCTTTATTTGACATACACCCTCTATATGTGAGTACATATACATGACTTGTAAGCCCATTGGGCTGGGTGACAGATTTTTATTTTCAAGCTATGTATTTACTGAATATTTTCTTATTGTCACACGGTACTTTAATAAACAATACTACTACTACTATAACCATCATTTTCATTTTCAAAAATATGCTGGTGTTCCCAGCATTATCCTCGCTAGACTGTGGCTACACCAATGGTAGGTCTGTGATCACACCATGTACTATTTGTTTTTAATAAAGGGCGCCCTCACAGCTTCAATTTAAATTCTCGCTTGTTTAAGCACTGGTTCTCATAAATTGAATTAATTTACAGTAACCATTCTAGGATGCGGTTTGTAAATGCAATTTTCCATCACAGCTGTGGTTGCAGCTGGTCATGGGCCAAACAGGCAACTGAAATTTCTTGACGCAATTATTTCATGGTGATGGTTGTCTTCGTTATTAATATGTACATTGAAAATTACCATCTTCAAGTCCAAGTTCACAACCGAAATCAATAAAAAAAAAAAAAAAAACTGAAGAAATCAATCCACCGGTAAAAATAATGAGTATACTACAACACGGGGAGAGTGACGTCATTATTCATTTGCGCATTCGAAAATTGATTAATTCCATCAGTTTAACCAAGCCTCCGGAACTACTCGCCTCGTATGATGTGTTCGTCTTTTTACACGGGGTTACCCGGTTAAGCACTCTCGATTAGCAAATACTCGCGAATGTGACAGCACACTAATATTCTACTAGGGCTGAGCGTAAGTGCGTGTATGTGTACAAATGTTGTGCACATTCGCCAGTGACAGTAATAAACAAGCCCCGATGTCGGGTTGCAAGCGCGTGCTGCCCGGTTGAGTCTCATGGTAAGGTGGATGACATTTGGTGCTAAAAAAAAGGACAAGTATTAACCCGACGATCGCCTAAAATTGGAGGAAACATTCACTTTTAAGGTTTTTGTTTTCGTTTTTGAGACGCTGCGGAAGGATCGATACTGCAGATTTTTATCACCGCTATGACGCTAAAGCACTTCGCTCTTATCTCACGTTTCAAGTACGCTTAACCGGGATTCCCACCTTGATAGAGAGACAGTGCATAGTCGAGTGCAATGTGCATCGATTGATTCTCAGAGCGTGGCGTGGCGAAGGTGGTCTTCGAATGTACCAAGCGTGATGATGTACGCGACTTCGGAATCGTTGCCAATATTAAAGATACACCCAAAGTGACTTTACATGTGTTATGGACTGGTGTAAAATGGAGGAGACACAAAAGTGTTACGTACTTTTTGTTTTATTTACGTGCATTGTAGCGGCTGTAGACGGTGGTCTATGCCCGGATGGGGAGACTTGGAGTGCTGTTTTTCATAAATGCATCCATTGCGACTTATGCAAGGACTTTCCAGGGGATTTAGCATGTGAAAACTGTAGTTGTAAGTATAATTTATATTTTTCGTGTGCACATTCACTTAATTTAAAAAGCAACGCGCATACTAGTATTCATATCTTAGCGGGGTAACACCATCCCCAATTAGCTTGCACAATACCCGTTGATGATGCACACACGGCGTAAATTTCTCTGCACTGTAACTCGAAATGACACTTTTCACACAGTCTAACCCTGCTGGATGATGGAGTTGTTGTCAGCATTATAACTTCTACCATGTCCTTCCATGGGAGCTCTGCGCATTGTCGCCAAAGTTATCTCAATAACGGAAGGGAGACATTTATAGTTTTATCCGGGTGCCCCCAAAATTCAACAAAATCATCAATCATTGCCAAACATTGATCGTTATAAAACAAATTTATTGACCAATTACTATATATATATATATATAATGTACAATCTATTGTAGACTCTATGATATGGACAATTTCGAGGCCAAAATGAATTGTTTAACTAAATTATAAATATGTCGCTTTCAGTTTCTTCCACCAAAATTCAAATGCAATTTTCATGAACATTCCTATACGAGTCATGGCAAGACCCGACTAAGATCTGATCTATTGCCGTGACAAACACATAGCTCAACATAAAAAATTGAAAAGCTCATTCT